GGGGGGGGAGGTTGCAGCAGGGGGGATAGAAGGAATTGTATTTTATTTATGTTGTATAGATTGTATTTTATTTATATTTTAATTTTTTTACAAGTACCTTCATTCTTTTAATAATCTCCTTTTATCCTGCTGTTTCACCATGGTGGCTTCTTTTTAGCCCTTTCTACTGTCAGTTGTTTGTGATGGGGTATATACATTTGCTTTGGACCTTCCATACAGTGCATTTAAGTAGTTTCAATGTGTCTTCAAAACACTTCTTTAGTATTTTTTGCATCTTCCTTGAGTTTTTTTTTGTTGTTTTTGCTTTTAAGCCTAGCTGCAAAAGGAGTGTGTTTTTGCTTCGTTTTCATTATGTCTGCAAAGATATTGAGTGCGTATGATCATTGCTTCAGAGTGTTTTTCAGAACCTTTTGATACAGGTCCTGTGCATCACTCAGGATCCAGTTAAGAACTGTACTCTTGTAAGCACTTTGACTAGCTAATCCACAAAGCAGTCATTGGAAAATGTATTTAAAGATTCAATTTCAGGATCGCATTTGCAAAGGGGACACTTTGTCTTTCTCTTACTGTGAGCTTTATATTAAAAAAATTGTCAAAACTCATGTACAATTTAGAAGTCTAGTTTCTGGTGACAAAGATGTGCAAAGGAGTAATTTTAACTACTTGAGCAAATGAAGATAAAGTCTAAGTAATTGTTAATAAATAGAAATCTTAACATTTGCTAAAGTGCATGAAAGTAGTAAACACTTGGTGAAAATTAAAGGTAATTAAAGATTATGGACCAACCAAAAAGAAGATAAACTGTTTCAAATTAAATCTGAACTATAGTAAAGAAAGCCAAAAAAATTGAGAGGTTGAGGAAATACTTGTTAGTAGCATGCAACTGAGTTTTTTCATCTTTTCATGACACAAAAAATAGAGGCACTAAAATAAAGCTTTAGGCTGAAGATTTAAACATGTGTTTTTGGGTTTGTTTTTTTTTTTATGTGGAACACTTGAATGGAGACAGTCACTACCGTTGTACTGGCAGGAGGTAGATGTGAAAATGAGGTCCAAAGACCTTCTGAAAAATAATGAGATAGTTATCTGTGATTCTGTACTTTGGACTGTAATCTGGGAAATATGTTTGTCCTGTTCTTTGTTTGTTTTTCTTATGAGTATCTTCTGTGGGCTACAATGACCATGTACAGTATGCTGTGCTTCTCATCTGATTCAGTACAGTGGCTGGGACATGCTTACAAGCCTGTGCTCATTAAACTGTAATCTATCTCAGTGATCTGTACATTACAAGGGTCATAAATATTTCTGGGATATTATGATCTGAATGTACAGAATTTGCTTACTAAGTGAGTCTTCAAGTTGTATGTTACGTTACAGTGGAATTCTGTATGGCATCAGCTGTTAATGGACCCAGGCAAATATCTTTGGGGATAAAACTGTGCTTAACTTTATTAGAAGGTTAAAAGTTGTTGACTTATTACCCTCAAATGCAGTTTGTTACTATATTTACTTCAATTTGTCATCATGTTATTATGGATTTTCAAATGAGCATATTGCTTCCCAGTCTTCATTACAAACATAGTTCTGATGCTACAAAGTGCCAAGATTGCGGTTTCAGTTGCAGGTTTTAGTTGACCTTGCTTCTCTGTGTCATGTTGTTATGCAATTCTACATATGTGTGTGTGTGCATTTATTTATATATATCTGCTATCTCTATATATAGTTAGATAGGTAAAAATAGAAATTACATCATTTTAGATTGTGTATTAAAAATTATATACCTATTTTTAAACTGTACACTCACACTACATTCTTTCCAGGGAGAGCAATGGTCACCTTCCTTTCACATTTACCCCTGTCATGTTGTTGTCTTCCAGTTCCCCAAACTGGTCATTGTAGCAAAATGATTCTGCATAGTGTTGTTTTTGGAATAGTCCAAAATAAATTCCAGTGCTGGATGTTTACGAGAATATCTCAGTGCTATTGTTTATTTCTGTTTAAGGGATTGATAAGGTTTGCATTTGCTTGAAATCCTATAGATAACACCATACCACACAGACTGCAGGAGGCTGCAGATGATTTGAATAGTGGATATCCTGAATGCAGCAGCTCATCTTCTTTTTCTTTTGATAGTACCTTTTGGCCATCACTTGTCAGGTGGGAGGGGGCAGGGGTCCTGCTGTTCTACTCTTAGTGTGAAAGTAATGTATTTTATCGTGACTTGATGCTAAAGTGGCCCCATGAGGAGAGCTACTCTGATTTTCTTCATAATTTCCCAGATGTTTCTGTAATAAGATTCCATCAGACTCCTAAACATGGCTGATCAGTTTTTCATGCTGCAGGCTAGGTCTGAGGAGCCTAAGGTGAGGAAGCCTGGGCTCTACTGCAGAATCTGGAACAGAATGCCCTGTAGAGGACACATATTTCCCCCCCTTCCCAGCAGTGTCTGGTTTTAAGTTGCCTTATCTCCTCCTCACTTAGTTGCTTCTTCCATTTTCTTTAACTGGGCAGGCTGTTCAGAAAGCTCTTCAGATTTCATTTGTCTGTTCATTATAACGCATATCTTCTTAGCCAGTCGTCTTGTCCAGCCAATCTCTCCCTAGCTGTAACTTGGTATTCAGTCTTTTGGGTTTTGATTTTTCCTCTCATGCTGTAGAATCATTGACCAATTCCGTTACTAAATCAGAGTCTTAAGCTTTCTTCCTAAATTCCTTGTGGAGTCTCACACTTAGTTTGTTTTCAAACCCAGCGTGGCTCACAGCAGCAGCAGTTCTTGGACAAGATCTGCTCAACTTTGCTGGTACATGCTTGACCTGCATGGAGCTTCAGGAAAGTCTGAGTTTGAGTTGTGTGCCAATAATCTTTTAACCTTGTAGCATGGGCAGAATAGACGGGGCTTTTTTTACCATCTTCTACAAATCTATCTCTGAGATAGCATCTGCAAAATTTCAAGCCCTTTGACCTTGCATCGCCAAAAATGGCATGTAGGAATTGTTCAGGGAAAAAATTGCATCATTTTTAATATATTGTTTACTAATTTGCTTCCTGCCTCCTCTCTTCCTTTCAGAAAGCACTCAGCTGGTCTTGGCTTAAACCTTGCTTAGTGATCATCTAGCTCAGCATGCCCAGCTTACTGAATTTCTAAATATGACTGGTTTTGCAAGTCTCTGAATATTACAGGCAACTTCGATTTTCAGCAAAATAACCATCTCTGCATCTCTGTCCAGTGCTTCTCATGATTATGTTAGATGAGAATGGGTTTGGGAACGTGTGCTATCAATGAAACCTGTGTAACAGCTTTCCTGAAATGGAGGATGAATTCTGCGTCTGTTACAATTTGCCAAAAGTAAGGCTACCTCTGTGTTTTCTCTCGTGTATGTTTCTGGAGATGATAACATACCTCTTTGTGTTACTTTCTGAGTGGTTTTGATGACAGTGGTGATGTTTTGAGGGGTATATAATTTTTTAACAATCTTGACTTTGTTATATGTTGTAATGTTTTAATGTGCATTTTTTGTGTATAGACTGAGACAAGAAATTGTCATCACAGTGCAAAACAGAACCAACACTGTATTGCAGTTTAGTCTATAAAAATGAAACGTATACTTTCTTTTTTGTTTTAGTTTTGTTGGAAACTGTGAAATTGATTTGGAGATCAAGAGATACTTCTGCAGAGCTGGTGTGAAAAGTATACAGGTGAAATTCAAATTTTTTCTTTTGATTTTGACATCAAGCCATCACTGAAGCATTAGTTTCTGATGAAATAGTTTATAAGAAAGAACCAGTAATTGTGAAGTTTTGTTGCTTACTATTTTTTTCTCATTTGCATAATACTGATATTGCATAATAATTTCAGTAACATGATTTAGCAGAAAGGGTAGATTCCTGAATCGTTTTAAATCTAGTACATTTATATATTCATATTATATAATGTATATAACATTTTCTACTCGAAAAGATGGGAGATAATTTCACATGAAGCCAATGTTCGTGTGATGTGTACGTTCGTAAAGGGAATACGGAGTTTAAAATTTTATTTTATAATATGTTTCAGTTTTAGATGCAATTATAGTAGTAGCAATAGTAAAATAATAGTAGCAGGAGTAATGCGATTATGCATAGTAGCTTTGCCTTCTGATATTGTTTCTCAATTTTTCTTAATTTTCTGATAACAGATTTCCCTCTCTAATGAGGAAAAATAGTGTAATTTATTTGTGTCTTGACATACCTATAAGCATTTACTTACTTTTGTTCTAATATCTCTGGATGCCATTGTATCTGTTTGTGCCACATTTGCTTACATTGAGCTATATAAATAGTCTACTTCATACTTTTAGCAAAATTACCACTGATGTGAAACAGCATCTTGTAGATGAATGTAATGAATTTGTAAGCCCAACTATTATTTTTTTCATCTGAATGATGTTTAAAGCTATATATGAAGCTTTAAGAAGAAAGTGATTCTCCATAATGGAGAATTTAATGAATTAGAAGTGTGAGCATTGCCAGAATAAATTTTATTTAAAACTTCAACTAAAGTCAATTCCATTGCCTATTTTCCCTCTCCTTCCACAGATCCATGGCACTATGAGGGTTATCCTGGAACCACTAATTGGAGACATGCCCCTAATTGGAGCACTATCCCTTTTTTTCCTGAGGAAGCCTGTAAGTATTTTATCTCTGTTTCTACTCTTTTTAGACTGCTGATGACAGTAGTCAGAAAATGATCTATCAAGAATTAAGCGGCAAAAGGAAAAAAATTTGAGAAATTGCTACCATTTGATTGAACTTTCCTGGAAAAATAGTGGACAAAATTTATGAATACGAGATGAAACAAAGATGAATAATAATTACTATGGAATTACAAAGTCTGTTGCGTCAAAGCTATCAGATTTTTCTTACATGTCTTCTGGATAAGGGAAGATCAGTGGATCCATTCTAGGTTCTATGTAAAAAAGCTTCTGTTGCCGTTTCTCATGACAGTCTGCAGGAGAACATGGTCGAAGTTAAAATTCCAGAAGATCTGTGCAGAGCTGTTTTGAGAACCATGGTGGTGTTACCACAAATTAAAAACAGAATGGGTGTGTTAAGACTACCTGTTATCATGATTAAAGTTTTTATCCTAAGTAGCAGGTGGACAATTGCCATTACATTTACCAGTGACCAAAGTATGAGAGCGGATGAAGCATAGAGTGAGATGGAACTGGAGTTCAAAGGGATCATGACAGTAGCAGAAGTTGGAGCGAGAGAGGGTGTCACATAGGTTCAATTGGAATATGTGCTAGGCCAAAGTGGCCGTTTGGGCAGGATTAATAGCGAAACAAAGGTAAACCAACAATGTGTTCGTGGTATGAAAATGGTATAGCTAGACTGGCACGTGTAAACGAGTATAATCTGCAAAATGCTTTCAGTTTTAGGCAGAGCACGTAACAGGGATGCTGATTGTTTGGAGAGTATCCAAAGTAGGGAGTTGAGAATTGGCTTGACCCTTGAGGACAGAGCAAAAGAACAGGATTTGTTTAGTTTAGAGAAGACTGAGGAGAACATGTTCTTCAAAAACATGGAGGGCTCTTACAGAAAAGACGCATACCATCTATTCCGCATATCCATGGCAGATAGGATATCTTCAGCAAGGAAGATTCAGACTGTACAAGGGGGATGAGGGAAGCCCTGAATGGTAGTGATAGTGAGACACAGCAGTAGGCTGCCTGGAGACACTGTGAGTCTCCAACACTGATGTCTTTCATGAACAGACTGGACTTGCAACCATGAGGACTGACATAGCTCTTCCAGAACCATTTACGCAGGTGGGCTCTTGAGGTTGTATCTAAGCTAGTGAGCCTTGTAGAAGGTGAGATCCTGGGCATTCTCACAGGCTTTTTCTAGAAGGGTTGACTGTGCTTTAGTAAAAGTCAAAATACTTATTAGCAATGAAAAAAGGTTTTCCTTTTAAATAATATAATTATGTAAAAAATGAAATTAGTTTCAACGTATTATAGCATTTGTATAGGATTCTACTATGTTTTACCACCTTTTTTGTAGAAGTAACTGATTTATTTATCTAAAAGAAACTATGATATACTTTAAAAATCTTTCATAAGGTTCCCTTTTTTTTTACTACTGAAACAACAATGAACCTGGATGGGGATTTTTTGGCTCAGCCAATATCAATTTGTATCGCAGCGTCTGGCACCAAAATGATGTGCGTTCTTGTAGGATTCAGTAACGTTGTAGTCTTTCCAGACATATTTAAATTCCTTTGAATTAAGAGAATGAAAGAAAATGGTTCTTAGCCTGCTATCTTGATCTGAGTAATTTAAAGAAAATGAGTTGAGGAAAGTTTTGTGAGGCCACAAATGTTTGTGAATTCTGGCCTATCACTAATTACCTGATACAGTTAATTTTCATGAGAAGTTGTGTTTAGGTGGTCCTCTTGCCTTTCCCTGCTGAATTTAAATATGACCGTTTTAAAATACAGTAAGTGTGAAGTTTGGAACTAATATAGTTTTTGAAAGCTGGGAACGTGGCTGGTGTAGTCATAAAATCTCAGTTCAATACATTCCTCTACATTAAAATGATAGATGTACATCACTGAAGTTTGCTCTGTGATAAGGCACTACAGACGGCGGATTGTTGCACCTTGGAGTGATTGTTTCACCTCAAGAGCTGTAGTCTGAATCTCGCAGGTAAGAGTGGCTGACAGGCACCAGTATATCTGTTGGTATCTTGGTGCGGCATTGGTAGAAGAACAGAGAACAGATAGCAAAAGTAATTTTCAGTGCCCGAAAATGAGTAACAAATACTCTACATCTTTAATTGAATTAAATCTTATGAAACATGACAGTAATTCTAGTCTAGGTTTTATTACTTCCAGGAAATTTCTTTTTTAATCTACGAATGCATCAAGAAAAGTTCACAGATGTTACAAAGTCTGTACAACAATCTTGTTTTAGAAAAACTCAAGAAGAATGTAATATACATTGCAGATTTGCTGACAGAAAATTCTTGGATGTTGTGTGTGTGTAAGGCCGTTTTAGTGATTTGAAGTTTGATACTGCTTTTGATAAATACTAGTAATAAAGCTTAATAGAAGATGTGAACATTGTGGAATTTCTTAGGCTACACAGACTTCTTTGAAGAAATTAATTGTTTCCATCTCTTTGTTAGAACTATATTTTCCATTGGAAGCTTTTGTTTCTTGGATATGTTCTAATTAAACAGTCAAACATATGATGTCAAGATTTAACAGTTTCAGACTATACCAGGTCATAAATTACAAGTACATGGGTTTAGGCAACAGTCTCAGATTGATCATCTTGATTTCCTCAGCGTTATGCAACTCTCAAAATTTGATCTAGTTTTCAAAATTTGGGTGGTGGGAGTGTATTCTTTACTTGAACAGCTTTAGAAAGTATGTTATTATTTTCTTCAATGAAACCACATTCTTGTAACACAATTCTTTTGAACAAATGTCATATGATAAATTTTTGCGAACTTTTTGCAAAGATACTTACGTATGCTCTAGGAAAACCTGTAGTTGCCACCTGCATCATTCATGTGGCTGGTTTCATCTGTCTAGAGAAACCATGTGTGCTTGGGTAGAGGGAAAGTAGACATAAATTTTAGTAAAACATGTAAAAATTTGGAAAAGTTTTGTGGATAATTTAGTGAGCATTTTTGTAAAAGTGAAATAGTTCATGCAAAACTGGTAAAAGATCATTGCCTTTATTTAGAAAGGGTTGGGGAAGTACATTGGGATGAACCAAATTTGGATTTCCACACATTTCTTTGAAGTGAGTCTAAACATTAGGAGATGTCTGTTGTAAGTTTTGTCAGATTTTTACCCTCTGGCTAGAGCATTATGAGTGTAGGGCATCTGTTAATGTTCCTGTTTATACTCACAAACTAAGGAGGGCCATGACAAGGCTTGAACACTGCCTTATGGTAGCCTGCAGTGTGTAATTGTTAGCGTACTCTCTGATATTATTTTGCTATGTACTGCTCTCCCAAACAATTTCCAAACTCAGTACAGTGCCCAGCTCATTACCATCCAATAAACAAGTTAAATGCAAACACTCTGTTTTCGGGGAACAGGGAGAAGAGTTTAGCTGTGTGGATGCAGACATTTTTTTTCTACAGGATTATGAATGAGCTTTCTTTGTGGTGTAGGTGTGGGTTGTGTTGTCTCTCTAAGTTCTGCTTTGCATTCACTGAGAAAGAAAGCAGCGTGCGGTCCTTCTGCGGAAGCCTTGCTGGCACGCTGGGTGCCTGAGCAGTGACCTGATGCGGTGTGTCTGGACTGCTTTACCCTGGTGCCTCCTGTATCTACTGCTTCTTTGTTGCTTTGTAGGGGAGTGGTAGGAAAGCTGGCAGGGGATGGGGTGGGAGAGATCAGCAGCAGGCGTGCTTGTAAGCAGTTGCTGACGTTTGTTCTGTTTCCGATTTCCAGCATCATGCTCTGGTAGCCTTTCTCTGAGCCGTTCACTTTTGGTAGTTCCAGATACTACTCCAGTCAGCTTTTAGCTCCAGTACCTGTGCCCAGTCCTTTCTGTCCCTAATCCACTTGAAGTGCCGCACATTTGCTAAGTGCTTAACTCAGACAACTGTCACCTGAGACAGTAAAGTGAAAATACATCAAATGAAACACCTCTTGTTTGTGGTCAGTAGCTTTCTGAACACGTCACTTTGGGAAGGACTTTGTCTAGAGTAATTTTGTCTTTGCTCCTACCACCATGGCACTTTATTAGGGGTCTGGTTGCCAAAAAGGGACGAGAAATAGACTGGAGTATGAAAATTAAAAAGTCAACCTCTCACCAAAACAGTTACAAAAATATTACAAGTATTTTTCACCCTCCTTTCATTCGAAAACTAAGCTGCTGGTCAAGGTCTGAGCAAACTTAGGGGTGAACTGTTAAAAAAATGCATCTTTGAATCAGCTTACTCCGTAATTTTATCAGATATACATGAATGTTTAGTTTTTTCCAAACAGACTTCTTTCCACACTGCAGTGTGTGTTCTTGATGTTTATTTTTGTAACTTCTGCAGAAAAATGTAAAATAATGCTTATTAGAGCAATAACCAAATTCTGTCCTCTTACTAGAGAGCAAGTGTCTGCAGCCAAGGAAAGCTTTTCTTCAATATTTTTGTTAGAAGAGAAGAGGAATTAGTTGGCAGCTAGCATTAGATTTTGTTCTCATATTTTCCAGTCTAAAGTAACTGGCAACAATTCCTCTTGCTCTGTATCATCTGTTTGCTGGCCTTAATGACTGTATAAGGCAACACTGCCTAAATTAATAGTTCCAAACATACTTGTTTAATGAGTTTACCAGTCTCATATTCTGAGTAATGCATGAAGTTTTTGATGCTGCAGGAGTTCTTACTTTATATGAAACTTCTAAAATAATGTATTTTGTTGTGTTTATTGTGAAAAAGGTACTGAAAGTTTTACCAGCTTATAAAATATGGCCAAATGCGTAAGAGATTTCAAGAGAGAGAAATATGTGCATTCTAATGTTTTGAAGTAGTCTTTTAAATCCCTTGAGCTGCAATGCTAGAGAGAAGTTAGCAATGTGTAAATAGTCAAGATTTGTAAGGTTTTTTGCATTACTTCTCATTATAGTAACATTATATATATTTACCATATATTCTGCTTTTCTAAATGTAGT